GCTTTAACCCGCTGCGCCCCCAGGGAGGGCCCTTACTGTCTTAATGCCCCTGAGCATTAACCTGGGAGGAGGGGTAGTGTCTCACAGCGGGACTTGGGGGCCTGGCATGTCTGTGAGTTGCAGCAAGTGGCTGGAACCGCCACCCGCAGAGTGGGCAGAGCGTCTTCTGCCCATGCCGGGCACCGCACTGTGGGCTGGCCACACTGTCCGTGGGGAGCGCCAGGAGAGCCTGCGAGCCGCTGGGTGCCCTGGGGGGCTCCTGGGGCGCCCTGGCTAACTGTCTCTGTCCTCCTCCGCAGCTGCCCATGATGGGGGGAGCCTTCATGGACTCGCCCAACGAGGACTTCAGCACGGAGTACTCCCTCTTTAACTCCTCCACCAACGTGCACGCGGCGGCCAACGGCCAGAGCCTGGCGGAGGAGCCCGCGCGGTCCTCCAACGACGCCGTCCTGCTGTGGATCGCCATCATAGCGACGCTGGGGAACATAGTGGTGGTGGGGGTGGTGTACGCCTTCACCTTCTGAGCCGCGGCGGCCACCCGAGCGGCGGGCAGCGCCTGCGCCGGGCTCCCCAGCCGCGCCCTGCAGTGGTCACTTCGGGGGGGTTCCGCAGCTCGCACCTTCTGGAACGTGGGCCCTGGCCACGCCCACAGGCCCAAGGGGCGGCAACCATGCTTCCGGAAGATCCCCTTGCACCCCTGATTTCAAATACCCTGTTCTGTCCACGAGCGGCTTCGGAACAAGAGGGAGTGGACTTCCGGCCCCCAGAGGCGAGGGCCAGGGAAATCTGGACGTTGCTTTCCAGGAACATGAGACCTGAGGGAACCGCCAGCGGGACTTAAAATGCAGCCAGGGTTTGAGGGTGGGTTGCAGACGGTAGAGGGGCGCTGACGCATACTGTTTCTATGCGGACTTGGGGGGTTGCCCCGCGGGACTGTTTTCTCCCATCTTGGACTCCCACTGCGTCCCCTGGTATTGGTGGCTTTCACTTGAGGGACCGCAGAATATTCCTCTCTTAACTGGCGCTTTTGTCGTCAGACACCTGGGCCCTTTGGGGACCCAGATGCATCAGGACACCCCAGGAGGGGGCATAGCGGGCAGGCTGCGGGGTCCCCTGTGGACTGCGGGCCTTTGCCTGCTGGATGAGCTGTGTCCCCCGTTCAAGTAGAGGGAAGCACCGTGAAAAATCAGTCATGCCAGGCCGTTAACCCTTCAGTCGTCCCCTGTAGATGCTTTTTGAAAAATCACAGCTTTTAGAGGTGAATAAGCACGTGTCCACCTACTCACCTGGCGAGTGGCAGGAGGAGGGAATGAGTTGCCTGAAATCACAGGGCAAGTTCGGGGAGCAGAGGGAGCAGAGGGGGCTGCTGCTGCTCAGCTCCGGCTCTGCCTGCCCCAGCCCAGCACCCCAACCTGCTTCTCTGTCGCCCATGGCACAGCCGCCCTGGGGTTTGCTGTGTGGACGGGGCGGTCAGACACCCACCTTTGAAATTGGCTACGTGCATTCACTGGCAGGTTTGAAGGTGCTTTGTACACAAATCTCCTTAAATTCCTGAAGTCGGTGTTTAGGAGCCCCGTGCAAGGACCAGAACAGGATGGGGGGTGTTTTCTTGCACCCTTGGGGAGGTGGCTTCACAGTGCTTGTCCTCCGCCCCCAGCCCCAGGCAGCCTCCCATGCAGGCAGGCCGGGAGCAGCCCAGACGCAGGTTCACTGGCCCCCAAGCTGCAAGCGTCTCCTCCCTGCCCTGTAGGAAAAGAAAATAAATGGCCAAACCCCCCCTCTGTGGCTGAGACACGCCTGGGTAAGGAGCCCCAGGTGTGTTTGGGAACAAGGCAAAGGGCTGCTTTTGTCGCTGCTCCCAGGAGACCGTTCCCGACGGCAGGCGAAGGGACATCTCAGCTAGCCAGAGGCAGCCGCTTGACCCCGGCGGCGGGCACCGAGCTGGGCAGCTCCTGCAGATGCCCCAGCTCTGTTACTGGCCGCGTCTGGCCCTGCAGCGCCTTCTGCCTGGTGCTTCAGCTCAAGCGGTCAGCGTGGAGCACGCCACCTGCTGGCGTGACTTTTGCAGAGAAGGGATGTGGGAACTTAGGCCTGGACACCTCTGGAATCTGCTGTTTGCACGAGCAGATGCGCCCACAGCCGGGCCGGACGGGGCCAGCGCAGGCAGAGGCCTCTCCTCCAGCCCTGGGTCTGCCCCTGCAAGCGAGTCCTCCGGCCTGTGTGCTCATGTGAAGACCGGGAGGGGTCAAGCCAGGGCTGTGGGGCTCTCTGGTTCGCCCCAGTGCACCCCACGCCCCAGGCTGCCACAGCCCTGTGAAGAGGTGAGTGGCAGCCCCTGGCATGGGTTGTGATGGCAGGGGGCAGAGGGCTCCTCGGCCATGGTGGTGGCTCTAGAGCACACTCCTGCCTCCCAGAGCCCAGGGTTCCCTGGGCATTTCTCTGGGTGCAGACCTCACCCCTGTGAAGACGTTTTTTTCTCCTAGAAATGTGGCTTACACTCAGCACCCAGCTCTCTCCCATTTCAGCAGCAGGGCCTCGGGAAGTCTGGGCATTTAGGCCCCATCCCGCTGCCTTTGACTTATCCAGGTTCCAGTGGTCTTGCTCAGGCGCCCACCACCTGTCTCCCGCTTCTTCTGTTTTTCTCTCCTCCGTCACTCAGATCACGGTGCACGGAGGTGGGCACTTTGGGTTCTGGCTGCCCCACCCCGGGCCCTGAGGAAGGTGGAGACAGGCGCACCCGCACTGCGGCCAGTGCCCTGGGGGGCTCACACTGACCCTCCCGCTCACCTCAGAGCAGCATGGTGCCCACACCGGATGGGCAGGAGCTCAGAGGAGTGGGGAAACACGCCTGGGGCCACACAGCCTGAGCATGAGGACTGTGTGACCCCAAACCAGGCTCTGCTGGGACACTCCACAGCCTTCGGTGACTGGGTGGCTCCTTCCAGCCCCGGAATCGCCGAGCAGGGGCACAGATGTCCATGCGGCCTGCCCCTCCGGCCCCCGCCCAGGATCTGACCTCCCTGGAGCCCCTTGGGCCTCCTCAGCAGGGGTGGGATATCCTCTCTGGGGCCCAGCCCCGGGCTCCCATGAGGGCATCTCCTGGGCGGACTTGAGCCGAGTGCACCCTGAGCAGATGAGCCAGTGCAGCCTCTTCAGTAACTGCATTTGCTGGAATGTTCTCTGTGCCGGCCCCTCTGCCTGCCCCTTCACCTCCCCTCTGCTGGCATCAGTGTTCACACTCAGGGCCAAGGCCTGCTGTCACTGGAGCTTGGGGTCACACACCACCCTCGCCAGGCATGTCACACGCCCGGGACCCACCTCTGCAGGGCTGATGGCACCGCCTGCCCCTCTCGGTCACTGCTTTCCTCCCCTTGCCCATGAGATCAAGGTCAAGAAGCAAATGAGACTTCCCCACTCCCTCTCCCCTCCAGAGGGAGGATGCTGTCCGCAGGACCCTGGGGAGGAAGGAAGGGCTCGTCCATTTAGCTGACCAGTCATCTTCCAGCCACTCTAAATGGACGGCCTGGATGTGGGCCAGACCGCAGCGTGTGTCGGCCCCTCCCTGGAGACCAGAGTCCTGGCGGTCGTCTCCTGCTGCCTGAGTCCTTCCAGATGCGCAGTCCTTTGCTTCTGCAGGACGCAGCCGCCCGCTCGGCCAGCGGTGATGTTACTGGTAATTACACTCGAACTAGCCGCTGGGCTTGCTGCTCCTTCTGCTGCCAGTCCCCTGTCTTCCTTGTGCTGTGTGCTTGTTTGTACCTCTGTCTTTTCACTTCCCCTGGGGGGAGCAGGAAGCAGGTTGCTGAGAGCTGCCCATGCATCACTGTCCTGCTTTCCTGCTGGGGAGATGAGGCCAAGCTCCGTACTGGGAGCTGGGGCTCCACCTGAGCTCTGTTGGCTGTGCAGGCTGGGCACCTAACTCCCCTGTGTCTGCCACCTGCCTGAGAGCCCCCAGACTGAGTTAGCCCAGGCAGGGATGGGGGGCGGTGTTGGTCCTGGGGAACAGCTTAGGTGTGAGTCGTGGGCAGGGCTGTGCGGTGATGTATGCCTTTGTCAGGCTCAACACCTCAGGGCCATGAGAGGCCTTAGAGAACATTGAGTTGGGACCTCTGGTGTGCAGAGGACATCTTGGACTGGCTCAGGGAGAGTGGACGGCCCCTGGAGACCCCCCCGGGGCACCCAGCAGCCTGTGCATCACCAGGAAGCACAGGTGTCATGGGCCACCAGCTTTGGCCCCGGGAAAGGCCTGGCATTCTCTGCCAGCTTCACTGGCCCCCTACACCCTCTCCTGTGCAATGCCCACTGGCTCCCGGGGCAAGTCCAATGAGCTGGGCTGTCGTCTCCGGGAAGCCCAAGGGGATCATCTCGGGCCCCTGCCCCCACGGCTCAGTGAGGGACAGCAGAGAGGGTGGCCAACAGCCTGGACTGAGCCCACAGTCTCCACAGCCTCTGGGAGAAGCCCAGGCGATCGGGACACACCAAGCGATTTGGACTAACGGAGCCCAGCTGTTGCCAGGATGAGCATGGGAGTGGCCCTTTTATTTGGGGCTGCAGGAGGAGTGGGCAGGAGACAGGACAGGTAAACCACAGTGATTGGAGAAGAGGGAGGATGCCCTTAGGGTGAGGTGTGTGGAGCGGGGAGCGGCCAGGAGGCTGTCCACTGACCACAGAAGTGGAGGGTGTGAGTCTGCATCGTTTGTTCACTGTCAAGTCACACGCTGGTCATCAAGACAGAAAATGGACATCGGGGAGCCCCAGAGAGGCCCTGACCTCCAGCCCATGCTAGATGAGGCTCTGACCCCTGGCCGGCTCCTACTGTCCTGGGAGATGTGAGACCCTCTCCCCTCGGGGAGCGGGTGGGACTGAGCCCGAGGCAGTGGGCAGGGAAGTTGAATGCTGTGGGTCCAGAATCCTGATCCTGCACTGGGCCGCACACGCGCACACACACGTGTGACCTGCACACCTGCAAACATACATGAACACATGCACCTACACGTGTACACGCACACACACACACACAAGGCTGAGCAGCTACCAGCAGCCCCAGGGTCTGCCTCTCCAGCCAGGTGCTCCCACATCTTAGGGATGCCAAGGACCACCTGCAGGGAGCTCCAAGCGTTCCCCAGCCTCACAGGCGATCCATCTGGGACTGGCGGGCAGGCAGGAGGCAGGCTGGCAGGAGGTGTGCTTCCAGGCTTTTCCACCTGAGGAAACAGGCACCGAGGGTTTGGGCGAGTCACCGGCCAGTCAGCAGGAGGGCAGGTCTTGAGCATCTCTGTGGAGTTCGTGAACCACCACACCAGCTTTATTCCTTTGGCAATGTCTGGGGACAATTTGGGGAGGAAGCTAGTGGGTAGAAGCCAGGGACGCTGCTGCGGATGAGGGGCTGGAGTCCGAGAAGCCTTGGGCCACCTGGTTCTCAGGCTGGCGGTGTCCCCCGAAGCTCCCCATTGCCCATGTGTGAGCCACTGGTGAAGCCAAGCCCGCCCTCCTGCACTGTGGCGTCTCCAGGCCTAGCCTGGAGAGAAATCCCACCGGCCCGAGGCGGGGCCCGAGCATGTGGCAGAAATCCACACGGCTCCATTTCTAGGGCCTTCGTGAGCCTTTCAGCCTAGGTGGGAGCTGAGCTGGGCCCCCCCGGTGACTGTCCCTGGGGCCTGGCCTCGCGCTAATAGTGGGAGGAGCTCAGAAGGCGAGTGGGTCTGCTGACCGCCGGGCTAGGCCGTGCCTTCTGGCTGGGTCCTTCTCCACACTCACCCCACTTCCCCGGTTGAGGGACATGAGCGTTCTACTCTCCACATGCTACAGAAACCTCATTCTTACAACTCACTGCCCTTCGGATACCAGTTCTTCCTGCTGAGAGCATCAGGAATGTTTGTATCTTTCGAGCGTTTTCATAATCAGCTTATGACTAAGTAGTTGGCTGTATAAAATGATGTTTTAACTATTCTTGTGGACCTTTGCTCCCGAGCCCCCGGTTTCGCTCGGAGGTCACTAACTTCTACTACAGTGAGACGGTTATTTCTTAACGTGGGCTCCCACATGCTCTTCTGCTGAGCATCCCAGCCTAAGGGGTGTCAGGATGTGGCTGTGAAGTCACCTCTGTCGCTGTGTGCGTCGCTGTCTTTGGCTTCTATTATGACAATAAAGAACACTAACTCCTGTCTGCCTCACACCTGTGCTGTCTGCGGGGAGTGGTCGTACATCCCCTCAAGGCTCCGTGAGATGCCCCCCGGCCCACCCCAGGCAGGACAGACCCCTCCCGCCCCCACCCTAGCCCCACCCCAGCTCCCCAGTCTCACACCTGCAGCCATAGAAGAGGAGCTGTGTCCTGGGTCACTTACTGCACCTTTATCCCGCTGGCCTGGTCCCCACGATTTCCCATTTGGCCTGGGCAGGCCCGGGTCTCAGGCTCCAACGGAGGTCAGCCTGACCACGGTTGATAGTTACAGCTGCCAGCTGCCGAGCCTTCTCTGCAAACTGTACAGTAACATTAACTAAATAGGTGATGCTCTATGCCCTGTGCAAGGTTTTGCAAATGACTAGCTGTGAGTGGGGGGCCTCATCTTGGGGGAGAGGGAAGGAGAGCCAGAGGAGGGCCTCCTGAGCAGCTGGCGCCCAGACCAGGGTCCAGTCTTAAGACAACTGAGGTTCACATACTCGTTCATTCAGCCCTTCAAGACCCACTATGTGCTCTGTGCTAGTCTGGACCGTGGGGGTGTGTGAGTGAGCGAAACAGTGCACTCGTCACCTTCTGATGGCAAACATAGTAAAGAAGCAGATAAAGAGCACGTCGAGTGTGACACAGTGAGACATAGGTGACCGTTGCTGGCCATGTGGTACTTTGTAGTCAGTACTGCCGAGGGTAGGTCTTCCACTAAGAACGCCTGTGACCTCCCGCCACGAAGGCTGGGGTGAACCTGGGCGGTTCGCCTCGGGCCTTCAAGGTGCTCCTGGCGGCTTATGCTACATACGCTCAGCTTTCCACGTTTCAGCCACGCTGCAGTAAAGTGACGTAAGGAAAAGACAGATTGGCTCAGCGCTCCTAAACCCTTGGGGTTGCCCCCTCCTCCACGATGGCAGGGGCCACGGCAGTCTTCACCGCTGGCTGCCGGGGCCCTGTCCGTCACCGGCGCGTGGCAGCCGGAGTTCCAGGCCTGGACTCAGGTGTTGCGGCCACAACTGGGCTCCAGGCCTCCGGCCACAACCCTGTGGCGTTTGGCCCGTCTGTGAGCCCACGGTGCGGAGCGGGTTGGGCTGCCACCCACAGGGCCGAGGAGAGGAACACGGGGCGGGAGATGCCGATGCCAGTTCCCGCAGGGTGGGCCCAGGGCCGCCCACTGGCCTGAGTGCCGTGCCCACCCGCCCACGTCGCCGACGCCGGTCTCCACTTAGCCGCGGACACCAGTGTGTGCTCGGAACTGCGCAGCATTGCTCACAGGACCTCGGCCAAGGGTCGTTATGTTAGATGCAGGTATCTAAACACCAGAACTAAAGATGAAGGGTAAACTAGAGATACGGTAAGAGTTTTGTCACTGTTTTTGCTAGCTGTACAGAGGGAATTCACGGGGATTGTAAGTCAAGCCGTCTTCGCTCTTGCACGTGGCCATCCCGCTGTCCCGGGGCCCCACACTTAAGAAGAAGTTTATGACAAAGGACCTTTCACTGAAAATGGCCAAAGCACCAAGATTGTATATGGCTGTGCAAAGTTACGTGTTAATTTAGAGGTATTAAAAGTTACTTTAACTCATCTTTGTTCATTGAAGAGAAAAAAGGATGCTTGTTACAAAGTCAGCCACTAAAATTTCCCACCTCCCTGGGCACCCTTCCCCCCACCACGTGCTGTGTCCCCTTTTGGGGGGGGCAGGGGCGGCGGTAGGGGGAGGAGCATGTTTGGGTGAAGATTGCATATCTAGGTGGAACGCAGCCTGGGGGGGGGCAGGGCAGGTCTGCGGAGGGCACATGAGTAAGCGAGTCCCCTTGGCAGCCCCGCTGGGGGTGCCAGGAGCAGGAAGCCAGGGCAGAACGGGCCCTGGGGGCTCTGGGGGCTCTGGGCTGGCAGCTGAGCTCCCACACCCCTACCTGGAGGGGCGGGGGTGAGGGCTGCGAGAGGTGGGACTGCCTTCAGAGAATCATGGAGAAGCGCCATGACTGCCTTTCCCTCAACCTTCTGGAAAAGCATTCAAAACCCAGGAAAGCGGGTGCCTCGAATGCCTTCCCTGAGGGTGCCAGTAGGGGGCACCTGACTCCGAGCCCGGGAAGCGACTGATGGACAAGACAGCGGCGGGGACCAGCAGGGGGCAGTGCTGGTCAGGAGCGGGAGCGCCTGACTCCTGGGACCCCTGGCAAAGCCCTGGCTGGCTGGGGAGCTCTGGCTGCAGCAGTGGAGACTGCTCGGGAAGGCGCTCCCGCGCCGCTGAGGAAATGCACCCAAGCCCTCGGGTTCCCACCCCTGCAAATGCCGAGAGGCAAGAAGCGGGGTTCAGAGTGGTGGGGGGTTGGGGGAAGGCACCGCTTTCAGGCTCTGCTGGTGGCCCAGATTTGTTCTGATAAAGCTATGATCGAGTGTTGGATACACAGACAGGAAAGCACACATCTGTGTTCACTGTCAGCGCCCACCCCCGGAAACCACGGGTTCCGTCAGCCAGCCCAGCAGTCCCAGCTCATCCTGACACCGCAGAAAGCACGATGATGTAGGCTGCCCGCAGGTGCTTGCATCATATAGAAGTGCGGGGCCGGCGGTCACACAGTATTTCCTTCTCTGGCCTTTAGGACTGCAGGCTTCATCTAAGGCTGTGACCCTCTTTGTATTTATTTTTTGCAACAAATTACAGAGACTGCTCTTGCACGTGGCCATCCAGCTGTCCCCAGGCCCCACACTTCAAGGCCCTTCTCTGCTGTCCTCTAATGCCCTTTCCTGCAGAACAAGGGGTCCAAGGAACTAGGAGGACTTGTCTCTCTGGATCCCCCTTCTAGACACACTGATGTACTGATGTACGCAGACACCAGAATCCTGGCCCCTGCTCCAGGCCTGGGTGGCCTGTGCTTTGAGAGCTGACCGCCCCATGGATCCCAGGGCAGCGCCAGAGGACAGCACTTTCTGAGATGGCGTGGAGCGCAGATGTGCAGGCTGGAGGGTTGGGGGCAGTCCCAGGGCCAGCCACTCTCCCTGAGCACCATGAACCAGCCCAGAACCCCACAGCCACACTGAGGTCCTCCAGAGAGACAGAACCAATAGCGTGTGATGTCTGCAAAGACACCGATTTTAAGGAATTGGCTCATGCTCCTGCCTGAAACCTGACCAAAAACTGGGAGGCCACAGCTTAACTGAGTCAACAGAAAGTGAAGCATAGCAGAGTCCGACAAGCCCGTGTCCAAGTCAGCCTTCCGGGTGGTCACACATGGAAGGAGGAGGCCTCACCCACAGTCCCCAGCCCAGCGGTTAACACCTGGGCCCATCTGCCTGCGCTCCAGCTGCACACTGCCCCCTGCTGGTTAGTACAGGTAGTGTACCTTTGCCTGCAAAACCGCCCCCACCCCGCCCCGTGTGGTTATTTGCTTTTATTGTTCCCCATCAGCTACAATAATAGCTCTAAATCTCACCCGATGCAAACCCACTCCATCTCTTATAGCATCCTGTCCCTCTGTCCCTCCCCCCTTAACCTCAGAGCCCTCCCTGTGTTTGTTAATGTTGCTGGTCTTTGTAAGTATGTCCCTTTACCGATCACCCCTATGTCATTGTCCAGGACTTGTCCTTCTGACTTGCTTTGCTGCATGTCATCTCTCAATGTCCTTGCATTCTGTGGCAAGTGGCTGTGTCTCCTCTCTCCTTGTGCTGGATGGCGTGCTCCCCTGGGCCAATACAGCGCTTTAAGCCATCGGCTTGGAGCATCAGCACGCCAGCCCTTGGGGTATAAATGGAGTTGCGTGAACACAGCAGAGCATCTCTTTTTGCGGGGGTCAACTTTGTCTTTTATTTATTTTTCAAAACATTTATTTATTTATTCACACAAGAACTGGGGTACAGGCTAGAGGTGCAGGAGATGAGAGGATTCACCAAGAGCAAAGTGGGGGGGGGAGAACAGGAGGATGTACTGAAATACGCTGCTGAGGGGATCAGCGGGCGGGTCAGGAGAGGTCTGCTGTGCCGTGTGGGTCAGCTCCCTGGCTGGGGATTGAACTTGTGTGCTCAGGCTGCTGTGACTGTGAACAGCTTCATAGTGCTGCTCTTTAACCCTTTGTGCCACCAGGGAGGGCCCTCAACTCTGTCTTTTGAAAGTATCAGTTTGGAAATAGTTGGGGGCGCAAAGACTTCGCAACCTGGTCCAGCTCTGTGAAGATGGCGGCTCTTCTAGGCGCCCGCCTCTGCCCGGTGTTGGGTTGGTGGCTGGGGAAGTAGCTCGTGCAGACTTCCATTTGTGGGAGCCGGCTTCAGGGTCCCCTGGATTTAATGGGTGCCTTCGGCTGCTGACCTTGCACACATCCCTCCCATAGACGGAAGCCAGACCACCCTCGGCTGGGTGTGCTCCCCACTGGGAGAGCCAGGGTGGGCTCTGCTCCTTCCTAAGGTCCTCCAGGTGCATTTGTGTCCTCAGTGAGAGGGGGGAGGCAGGGGGGACAGGCAGGGATGCAAGAGGGAGGAAAATGTCTGAGGATGCTGGTCAGGTTTGGCCTGCTGCTGGAGTTGTCAATAGTTTTATTGAAACCCAGCACGCCCTGGCCCAGGTCTGGTCTCTGGCTGTCTCAGTAGGTGCTGTGGGTGCAGGAGGGCAGGTGCTGCAGACACCGTATAGCTGCGAAATTGAGTGTGGGTGCCCAGGCCTCGCCCTGAACACAGGCCTCTCCTCTGGCCTCTTCTGTGCCGTCTCTGGGAGCAGCTACCCCAGGAGATCAGGAGGAGGCACTTCTGGGCACAGCCAGCCCCGGGAAAGTGCCCACCTCCACTTACATCTGCCCCATCAGCCCTTGGGAAGAGAGCATAGCTAGGGGGGACCACAGATGACACAGGGGCAGCTGGCACGGGGACATCCTGGGACAGACGTCCAGCTTGTGCTGTAGGCACAGTAACTTCTGCCCCCAGCAAAGGACACCACCCCTAAGTCTCACAAACCTGCCTGAGGACCCGTATGAGAGAGCTTGGGGGCCTGGATTCCAGGTCTTGGCA